CTATTTTATTGTTTTGTGAGATGTTCACCTGTTTTCACCTATTTTCATCTATTTTCACCTATTTACTTGTTTTCATATACCCTTTCACCTATTTTCACCTATTTTCTTGTTTTGGTAACATTTGATACCTTCTCATCTGGTTTCACCAATTTTCACCTATTTTGTATCTGTTCTCTTGTTCTTGTGGATTTTGTATATATGTTTACCTGATTTCACCTAGTTTCACCTATTTACTTTCTTTTTTCACCTGGTTTTGCCTGGTTTCACCTGTTTTCGCGTTTGTCATGCATTTGCACCTATGTTCTTTCAAAGTCTTGCTTTGTGATATTTCACAGCCAGCTCTCACAGCCAGCCGCGCCTGCTGATTGTGTGTTATTTAACGTTGATTGTTTCTGTTTACCCCCAACGCAGTACCTTACGCACGCCTCTAGCTCACTGGCAACCTCATCCACTTCAGAGGTTGGGCGGTCGTCGCATGGTCGCTCCTTCCAGCCAAAAAGGATTGCTACACCAAACACGGTGTAGCTGGGCCATTGTGTCACATCGCTTTTCAACATGATCGATCTAGCTGGCCACTAGCTGTTATTTATTGTTCAATCAACAGTGCACTACTCTACACATCTTGCCTGTACCGGCTGCATCTCAACAAACAGAATTGGCTATAGTATATGTTGTATAAGTCCCTGATCCGCTGGGACTGGGAAACCCGCCTCCATTCCAGCATCAGAAGCGTCCACATGGCTAGCATCACGAACATGTTCCTGGCAAAGCAGGGCTCCTGGCTCCTGCCTATGCTTGGTTTGGGTTGCTATTGAACACACTTGTAAAACCTGGATACAAAACACAGTAGCGTGATTGTTCAATTCTTGACTCACCGTTGTCCATAGCGCTTCATTGAACCTATCCAGCCTCAGCAGTAACAGTCTCGAATTCCATTGTTGGCTTGGAGTTCTCCTCCACCAGCTCCTGTGGCAAGTATAATTGCTGTCCTTGTGGTCTTGTAGCAGCATGCAAAGGTACCCTGAGCCTGGTAAGCCTGATTGTAGTCAAAGAGTCTCTCTCTTTCTCTCTGAACTCAAGATGTAGACAAAACATTTATATATGAGTAATATGTCCTGTCCATCTATTTACTGTACATATAACTGTAGCCTTAGGCCTTCCAGGATTAGAAAAGGGCCTGGTTCACGGTTCAAGTAAGGAACAGAGACGGTGCACACAGAGCACCTGCCGTTGAGTACAATGAACTCCAGGCATGTGCATTTGCATGGTCTTGATCAGCGATCGCAAACAAACGCTGGTTGTTTTCTCCAAAGCTGCCGCGCCATGATCCCATCCCAACTCGAAGCGTTGCAGGTGCGACAGCCGCCCTAAACAAAAATATCTCTTCAAAAACCTCTCGGGCACATTGCACATTGATTGAGCAGTTCACATAAAACTAGCTACACTAGCTGTGAATCATCCACCTCTTGTGAATCACAGAGCGCAAACAAGGCCGTTGGCTCTTCACACTGGGGGAATCCTTCATGCGGCTCTTCAACCTGCGTAGTAGCTACATCATTGTATGGGGAGCCAGGAGGAAACTCACCCAATATCAATGTCTCTTGCGACAACCCCATTGGCTCCAGCTCTGGCTGTTCCAAGGGAAGTTCTGGCAAACTATCCGGATCACATCCATGAGGTTGGTAGTGCCCTGCATCTCCGGTCATTTCTTTGTTGTCCGAGTTCTGGGTCTGAGTCTCAGTCAAAAGGGTGCCATCAGGGCCGCCGGCAGGGCGGCCACTGTCACACTCAAGGGCAACAGTGTTCTTGCTGGCATAGGCCACATGAATCGGAAAGTCCTTGCAAGTGGGTGGTGGCACCAACCTTGGATGGTAAGGCGCTGAGTCGGGATGCTGCAGGTTCAAAACTTGGCCGAGTCGAGAAGTAACCTTCACGTCTCCCAATCGAAGTATGCCCCGCTCACTCAGTTCCAAGTGCAGCTTGGCTTGCCACTGAACATTCCAGTCCAGGAAGAACCCCCGGTCCTTTCGGGGCCCAGGCGAGGATGGCAAGGGCGGCCGTGGAGATGGGACAAACTCCCAAGGAGAGGATGAAGAAGCATCGTTGTCTGAGCCTGAGGCTGCCCCCCTTGCTTTCCTCAGCCAGAGTACGCTGCCTCTTCGCACTAGGCGGCAACGGATCCATGCCAAAACGCTGACCTGCCCTGAAATGAAACGCCGGTCTAATAGGTCTATCTATGTCTATCATACAAATCTTGAGCCATGCAAGGTGAGTGGTGTCTAGAACTACTTGGAAACTCTATAGTCGCGCCACTACTGGAACTAAGACACGCCATACGTCAAATACACCGGCTCTGAAGTTCCTTGTCCAACCGGCCCGGCAACCAGTCCTGTTGCAATGCACGGTGCAGATCTTCAGGTACAGTTTCAGTTTTGGCCTCCAGGGCGGCCTCCAGAATGCACACATCTCACTGTACCGACTGTACCCAGTAGAATCATGAACCAACCTTCTACCCACCAAACAGCAAGAGGAAACAAACGCAAGACCTTCTGCGTGAGCCCAGGTGGGCTAAGAGCCAATTGCCAGGCCTTCTTGTCAGTGATTTCAAGCTCGGAATGAGGACCGTCACCTCCACCACGTTTGTCCGTCTCATCCTGTGCGGGGTCCATACTATGGGGGGCCCATGGCACCTGACGAGATCCCAAAATCTATGGCTGTCTTGTTTTCTATTCTTGATTGCTATTAAACTTGTTGGCACAGCTGTGCCCAAAACAGCAAAAAATCGCGCCGCCGTCAAGTTGAAGACAGCATCGGCACAGCGCAAATCAACTTAGGTGGGAGTTGTGTGCCTGGGCTGGAAGAACTTCTGGCTCGGCATCGGAATCTTCAATAACTTCAACTTGCGCAAGCAAGCGCTTGCCCCTCCGCCGTCGCGGCCTTGATTTAGCCTCCAGGTGGTATCCGCAAGCAACGCTGACTGGCCACGCAAAATGAAAATTGCACAATGGTTGCCACTGCCTGATTTTGCCTGGCGACTGCTTTAAGTTTTAAGACCTGAAGATTTGACATGCCATGCATGCCATGCAGCATGCACCTGCAACTCTGTCGGCAGGTGGTCCATTGGGTCCTTCTCTTCATTGATTTCATCAGTCCGCTGCGGGTCCTGGCATTGGTAAAAAAACTCCTGTTTGAATTCGGGCGCAGGTAGAGTGAACGGTTTTTTGACTGGGGGGATCATTTAGGCACGCGCGTTTTGGCTCATTTGCACCAGCGCTCGCGCTCTACTTCA